AGATAAATACTGACGTTCTTGTATCGCGGGGGTCAAAGGTTACTGAAGATAAATACTGACGTTCTTGTATCGCGGGGGCCAAGGTTACTGAAGATAAATACTGACGTTCTTGTATCGCGGGGGCAAAGGTTACTGAAGATAAATACTGACGTTCTTGTATCGCGGGGCAAAGGTTACTGAAGATAAATACTGACGTTCTTGTATCGCGGGGGCAAAGGTTACTGAAGATAAATACTGACGTTCTTGTATCGCGGGGGCAAAGGTTACTGAAGATAAATACTGACGTTCTTGTATCGCGGGGCAAAGGTTACTGAAGATAAATACTGACGCTCTTGTATCGCGGGGGCAAAGGTTACTGAAGATAAATACTGACGTTCTTGTATCGCGGGGGCAAAGGTTACTGAAGATAAATACTGACGTTCTTGTATCGCGGGGCAAAGGTTACTGAAGATAAATACTGACGTTCTTGTATCGCGGGGGGCAAAGGTTACTGAAGATAAATACTGACGTTCTTGTATCGCGGTGGGCAAAGGTTACTGAAGATAAATACTGACGTTCTTGTATCGCGGGGGGCAAAGGTTACTGAAGATAAATACTGACGCTCTTGTATCGCGGGGGGCAAAGGTTACTGAAACCGACATAAAATTTAAATCTCAGAATTTTATTCGACTTAGGATAAAAGTTGTTTAACAAACGATCATAGTTTCTCATGGCTATTATTGGTTTGTATTACAAGGGGGTATGCACATCAAATAAAAAAACACCGAAAACGACAAGGTTTGTTATAAGTTAACGCTCTTCACGTACCGCACGTGCATTTGTTTCACTGTTCCAACTACTGCGCTTACCCCCTTGTAATACAAAACAGTAATGGCGATTTGAATCTATGATCGTTTGTTAAACAACTTTTATCCTAATTTGAATAAAATTTTGAGATTTGAATGTTCAATTGGCAAGGTAAAATTATGAGGATTCGCAATCTTAATTTCACTTTATTTGATTTACTTTTTTGTTTAAAGTGAAATTCATCGGTACGTTCATTCGTCACTACTCGCCCCTTTCCGTAAACTCCAAGAAGACTCGTCCCCCACTCGATACTTGTTATGTGCGAAAATACGACAAACCAATCAGAACGCGCGTAAATGAGCGCGGTGCTTTGATAAAAATAATCCCGAGTACTTAAATCGTTTATGGCATTATGTCATTGTTTAAAGAATCATGAAAACTATATATCGTCATATTGAAAGTACAAAGAACGTAGCTAAAAGGATTTTGCTGCCTATTATGAAGTTTTTAATAAGAATCATGCGATTGACGGTGAGAGATTCAAATAAACGCACGCGCGTTTGCGTGTGTTGACATAACGGCTCTCATGGGTCCAACTGAGTGTATTTCTGACGATCTTGCGGGGCTTGTTATGGAGATTGTACGTGCTCTTCGACCAATTGTAGGAAATGTAATTATAATCGCTACGAGTTTCAAAACAATAATGTCGTATTTGTATGTAACTAATCAACCTTAATCTTTAACATTGGGCTTATATTTCATAGCTCTGGAATATTTTAGTCTGACTGTTTTTTGGTCATTCATATTTTTTACAGCGAATTCATTTAAAAATTCCACCAGGGGTGTGACAGCAAGGTTACACGAATATTCAGCTTGAGAAATATTTTTAAGTCATTTTTGAGTATCTGCTTTGGGATTTACTGTAGCTGAGTTTTGTTGTTGTTGTATATTCAATAAAACAATTCCCTTTTGTGATGATTACCCTATTAAGAAAATTAACATAATTGGTAATATAAGGTGAACAGCTGGAAATGATTACATTAGAATACAGTTAGTCTTTAACAAATATGTTTTTCTCCTTCTTTAGTTGTATCGCCGAATAGCGATCTTCTTGGAGTTTACGGAAAGGGGCGAGTGGTGACGAATGAGGGGCACGAGTCGGTATTCGGCTTGTCCCGGAATAACACGAGTTAGTCACAAATGCGGTACGTTTTCACTGCATACAGACTATAGTTTCCGGTAGCTCCCCATCAATGGTTTAGACAAGATCCATGGCAACGGGAGTTAGAAGGATATAAGTTTTGTTATAACCCAAGTTTGCCGTGTCTGACGTTATCACGTCCCGAATAATGGTGCACGTTTTCTGGAGAAGGGTGTTTGTCTCACGTTATGCGGATGAGCTCAAAGTTCATTATATTACAGCTGAATGTCAGTAACACATAAATACATGTTATATTTGTTTAATCAGTCACATATTTATTTTCCCTCTTATGACATGAGAGTCGTGGTCTGGATGAAAACCGCTTTGTAGCCCCGTGGGCGAAGCGTTCGACATGACAATGTCCGGGTTCTATTCCCAACTTGATACAAAGTGTGAAGCCATTGCCTTGTGTCCCCATCCGAGATATTGCTGAAATACTTTTAAAAGTGTCGTTAAAGTAATCTCACTGACATCGTCTTGGTGGTGCGTCCGAGGGATAATTCCAAATGGCTTCAGTGGGTATTGGGTTAAAATCTAAATTCGGTTGGCACTTTTAGTAGCTACCATTGCTACGATCACTTCAAGTAGGTTGTTGAGAATATGTCAGATGTGATGATCGTGGACGGTTCACAAGCGGGTGAAGACAACATCAAGGTTGTGGTGAAGACGGGGTGTCAATTAAACCAGATGTAAAGGAAGCATTCATTGAAATTAAAAATATAAAATCAAAATAGCTTACCAGCAACATTGAGAATAGTCATGACGGATCACATTTATTATTGGCTAAATCTATATCAATTACTGCGGCTGCGAAACTAAATTGCGCAATGGAGAATTCTAACGAACAGCCTTCTTTGTTGTACGGAACAACATTGCACGAAGCGGCTTGAAAATATACAGCATTTGTACTCTTTGAGGATATCCATCTTCCTCAGTATGATAAAAGCGATGAACTAAGAACAGGATTGGTTGAGTTGGTACTTCACGCCGCAATTTTCCAGTTTTATGGCGGTGGTCTGTAAATAGTAGTCTCGACCAGACAATCCAATAATCAACAGCACAAGCATAGATCTACGCAACTGGGATACGATGACATGTGTCAGCGCTTTTGACCACCCGATCCCGTTAGTCGCCTCTTTCGACAAGCATGGACTGCTGAAGACCAATTCTAACCAGGACTTTCACTGTTAAACTAAGAACAGGAGAAACATCACTCGTAGTTTTGAAAATCTAATGAGTTGAGGGGAAATCTTTATTGCGTATACGCTGACTCCTATTCCAGGATTCATAATCAATGGCATCTTAACAACTGTTTCAGAAGTGGAGGAACTCATTACTCTATGTGAATCTCCAATGTGGTTTTGACACAGGTGGTGGAGCAGGTGAAAACGTTCTCCTGTCATAATGCCCTGGGTTTGGGTTCAAATCCCAAATTCATCATAATCCCTTGTTTGCTTGGTGTTCAATGTTGTTAGGGAATAAGATGATCGATAGTCTTTCTCTGACAATAGTATGTGTACGGTAAATTTAAACGTGATGATAATGTTAACATGTATTGCCCAAATATGTCCAAAATTGTAATACTTATATACTTTGTTTGTATTTAATCAAGCATCCGGTGACTAAAAAGGAACTTTTGCGGTTACTGTAGGTTTTGCTGTGTCATGTGATTCACAACAGTTCCAATATGGATCCTACAAAGTGTTTGCCGAGGTAAACCTGGTGATTGTTGCCCACAAGCTGGTGTAACTGTATCCCTGTGCTGCTCCCTGGAAACGAATCGCTACAGCCAAAATCAAGATCGTTTAGAAATACCGAGATACGGTAACCACAGTAAGTGACCCAACGTGAAGTGTTCTGTGACGTGTCAGACAGTGTCAGCCGTTAAAGCCAAGCGTGATGGATCCAAACGTACTTGTAGTGAGTGAGTGAGTTTGGTTTTACGCCGCTTTTAGCAATATTCCGGCAATATCACGGCGGGGGGACACCAGAAATGGGTTTCACACATTGTACCCATATGGTGATTCAAACCCGGGCCTTCGGCGTGACGAGCCAACGCTTTAACTACTAGGCTACCCCACGCCTCCTGAGGCGGTAGACATTCACACCACCGTCAGCAATGCACTTGTAGTTAGTCTATATAATAGCAGCCTGTACACAATGGGGATCAGACAGAAGACGCGGTCATGGTTACCTGTTTATGTGTTTGTTTACCTGTTTGTTGTCTAACGCTGCAGTCAGCAATATTCCAGCTAGTTGACGGGGGTCTGAACATAACCGGGCCTGGACCAGACAATGCAGTGATCGATATTGTCAGCAACGATCCCCGCTGTCGCCAGGCAATCAGTCAAGCCTCATCTGATCTGGTCGGTCACCTCCTTCGACCAGCATGGTGTGCTGTGACCTTGCTCCAAGGCTGTACTGAATGCTAAGCCCATTGGTGTATAGTAATTCTGTCCTTTAAAAAGACAAGTCTAGATAAGCGGACAGAACACCAGTCTGTTAGAGGAATATTTATAGTTTATAGAATTATCATTTAAACTATTTATATATTACTTTAGAGACTTGTGCAAGGGCTCTGTTTGCTGGGGCTCTGTCTAACCATGAATTGGGGCTGCGTGGTGGCCCAGTGGTGCAAGCGTTCGCTCGTCACGCCGAAGACCCGTAATTCCTACAGGGTCGGACCCTGTCTGCTGAAGCAGGATCTTAAAACCAGAACTCTGGGACTGCATGGGGACCTTTTGCACCCCGGGACCCATTATGGAAACAGTTTAGGGTACTGGAGCTTCTTGCCTGCGCTACAAGCTGGAGAGGCTACAAGCTGGAGACTATACTGACCGCTCGACGAGAAACACATTGGATAAAGGGGTCGAAAGGTGCCATAAATACCCCACGGACAGTCATGTACGGCTACTGCTCGCAAGCACAAATGACTAAACAACGTCATGTCATGACCCATTGAGCTACAATCACAATAAAATCCATCGAAGAAATAAATACAGAAGACTGTTGCTAGGCTACATCACAGCATCATGTTTATTTGACACACGTTCAGTCTCACGCCTTTGGTCAGTCACTTCTCACTCTGCAGGGGTATTCAAACAGAGGACTGTAGCATTTTATCATAAACTTACTATTTTTTTGAAAACCTGATCACTCATGAAAATATTTTTGCTTTCGGTAGTTTACTCAAATGAAAGAAAAGTGATGTTACTAATGAACATACTGTTTTTTTAATCAAAATATAGATTTGATTGTAAAACGAACATTGTGGACTATGGAAGGAGGAGATATGGTGTACAGGCATCCCTGTCTCCAGTCTCAAGGAGGTAATGTCTGACATCTCAAAAGGAATAAACATCTTTTGAACTATCACATAATACCATGACGTCAGTCTTAGTAGTTTCCCTTACGTCACAGCAGCAACGCGGCAAACATTCCCCAGTGATCTCTATCAACGAATCTTACGTCATGATGACGTCATCCTAACACGGTTATATCATACATCAATACAAAATGTCCCCCATAACGTTATATAACGTATAACGTGACGTCATATACTTGGCGACGTTTGTCAGTACTTTTATCTGACGTCATGTTGACGTAACACAGACCACAGCCACTGGTCAATATAAAGAGTCGTTTTTGAACGTATTCGTTCTGTTTAAGAGTACATTTAAATTAATTCTGACCTCATTTCTTTTGATTCCGTATGCACAGAGCACTAAATGAACCTGCAGCAAACAAAATACATAAAAACAACGAAAACTGGTCGTCTATCCGTGGTGCGCATCCGAACACACGCCAGAAGATATTTCTGGACTGTTTTTTTTCCGTAAGTGTCCGTTTCATTGGAACCTCTTCAAATTTGTGGTTCATTTCAACGTTGTGATAGTGACATACATAGTTCGAAATAGTTATGATAATACTGAATGAATAAATTAAGATAACTTAGACGTATAGATACAAATACACGTCACTACATACATATATACACGGGTTGATATGTTGCTTGCCAGTTGCTTCAATCACTCTGACACGAAACATTTCACAGATACAACACACCATTCTAGACATGGTACGCTTAACTCGAACTTTCACACAGCTTCAACAGTTCACCAAGTGACTGTGGTCACATGATGTACCACGTGACCACTTCGAAACAATAGCGTGTTCGAAACGTAAAGTTGGAGTGTTTAACTGGATACATTTTTCTTTGTGTAACTTGCGTTGCTTGTTTGGCCTACACAGGCGACGATGTCACGTTGTTGCTGTTGCTGTTGCTCGAGGCGTCGTAGAAGCTGTCGTCGATACTGCTGCTGTATGACAGTGTCGTGAAATCGGGAGAGTTGGTTGTCGGCCTCACCGATACCTCCACGGGACGAGGGCGTTCCCTGCGACGGCGATGTCTCCGGGGGACGGGAGACGACGTCGGTTCTGGCGACGCCACTTCCGGGGGCGTGTCTTCCCTCACGTGGCTGGAAATACGAGATCTCGTGTTGACGGCTTTCTCCGATGTGTCGATAGAATCCGTGGCTATGTACTTGTCAATGGTTGGAGATGGCTCAGCCTGAACTATGTCCGTCTGTAGACATCTGTTGCACATTTGTACCTTGACAGGCGCATCAGTCTGTGTCTCTGTCGTCTTGATGTGCAGATCTGTCTTTCCAGTGCGATTCTTCCCTGGCGTTATTTTCTGATTTGCATTCTCGGTATCCTCCAGCACGCCTATATCCAAGGTTCCGGGGTTAAAGTTCACGACCTTGTTGACCGTTTTGGGCAGATCCTTGATCTCGATGTCAGACAAACAGGACAGCTTTTCCTGCACCTGCTTCTTGAGGAGAAGCAGTTCAATGTCCTTGCCTTTCAGCACCAGCTCGGTGAGATTGCAGGTGCTCTTTAAGCCATCGAGGTTTGCCTGCATCTCCGACCTCCTGGCTACATACTCCATGAGTTCCTTGCCGTACAGCGTATGCAGATCATCAATCAGCACCTTCTCCTTGTTCCGTATCTCACTGATGAACTGGATCGCAACATCTCGAATCTTTTGTTCAGCGGCCTTGATGACGCTTTCGCATTTACTGAGGAGGGTCAACTGAGCGTCGTAGACGTCGATCCTGCCCTTGCAGCTGTTGAGGAGGCTCTGTATGGCTTCCTTGTACTTAAGGACTGCGTCCGAGAACTGGGATATGTCGTGATCCTTGTGTTCGTTAAATGTGCACAGAACACAGATACACGCCTCGCAGGGCTCGCAGTAGAAACGAACTACCTCGTCCTTGTGCTCCTTGCATTCAATGTCCTTCTCAATCTCCACGTCAAATAAACTGTGGCTTTTCGTCACCTTCGTCTCCTTGTGTAGGTCCACGCACTGCTTACACAGAAGTTTGTTACAATCCAGACATTTCGAGGTAGCTTCTCTGTGCTTCCGGTTCACCAGCTTGCAGATGTCGCAGAATGGGAACTTGGACGGTCGTTGCCTGGAGATTGTCTCGCCAAGATTCGAAACCAGGAAGTTGTCCGGTAGTTTCTTCACGCCCCCTATCGGGAGTTGGGTTCGTTTCCGACAGAGAGGGCAGGTGAACTCCCTATAGTCGCTGTATTTCTTGTAGGTGCATTCTGACATCACATGGTTGTCGATACATTGCTCACAGAAGGTGTGCAGGCAGTCGAGGCATTTTGGTGACTTGAAACCTTCTAGACAGATTTTACAGGTGAGAAATTCGTCATGGATCTCCTGAGCTAGTTTCCCCCCCGACGTGGTGGAGGCCATGTTGGAAGTGTTGCACGTTGCAGAAGGCAGTTCCACTGCCTGGGTGTAGTACCGCTCACGCTCTAATCGGCGACGATACCTGAAACACAAACATACGACTTTTAGTAGTCTGTCTCACAGTCCCCGAACCACATTAATTTCCCTACAATTATATATATTCAGAGACTAAGCCTTAGTCTAGACTTTAAGCAATGGTGCAGCAGTTTTAAGTGGCAGGGCTTTAGAATTATTACAGGTGGCATAACAAGAAAACGCTTCACAGACTGTCACGTGTGGAATCGAACGCCGGTGGCCGAATGATGGCCACATGCAGTAGCCACTGGGGTACCCAATCATCTAACCCGTCACGTGACCACTGCTATGGAACCGACCCGCAATGCAGTTTTGGTTAAAGGGAGTTTTATCTGAAACCAAACATATGTTTCGATACGTTTTGGACATCCATGATCCAATGTAAAGCCAACGGTCAATTTGACCAATTTTTTCCACCACTTTCGGGAACATATTAGTTTTCGAAAAAATAAATCTGCTGTCGTTATGTAAATATTCCAATCTTGAGTGAATACCTTCCCATCTACACGCGAATACACAGTTGACTCAAGGTTTACATCCTACGATACTATGTGTAATTCAAGATATTTGCAAAGAAAAAATTCATCATCAATTGACAGCTCACCATCAATGACAGACACTATCCTTTAAGAACGAAAAGACGTCCATGATATTTTCATCATTACATAGTCTGTCATACAGACCCTGAGCAAATACATCCAAGAAATCCTACGCAAGTCTAGAAAATGTGGCAAGTCTAGATTTCCACAGCTTCTGAAAATGAAGAAAGTCACTGGGCTCCTTTTTATTATATTTTGGTTGTTTTTTTCACTATGAGCCTTTTTTCTGTAAAATATGTTCATTTCAGAGACTAGTTGTTAGTCTAATCATAACATTGTAGGCGTGTGTGCAAACGTTCGTTAGCCGAGGCATGTCTGGAACCGCTGCCAGAGTTATGACAATACCCCGTGGCTCTATGGTATATGTGTGTGATATCAACTACACAGCCACACTGACCGTCCTTATGCTTGACAGATATATCATATATCACACAGCCGTACATAACTTTAATATACCACACGTATATCACACAGCCGTATATATCTTTCATACACCACACATATATTATACAGCCATACATATCTTTCATATACTAAACATATATCATGTAGCCATACATATCTATCAAATGCCATATATCGTATTCACGATACAATGTTCATCCAATCCAAGACATATAACCTACAACACATATATTGCCTGTATATCGTATATTATCCGGCGTAGTACCTAACAGTTGTTGTTGGAACATATCACTTGATACTCCCTAGCATCTGCCAAAACAGACATTAATGTGGAGTGTTGAGATCACAACACACAAAAAAAAGAGCCGCCAGGAGGGCTGTTGCAACAGATACACCGTACCTGGTGAGAACAGATCTAAGTATGAGTTATATAACTATCTCGACAGGGTTATTGCGTATATAACCCGCCATAACTTGCCCCGACGACTCCGTCAGCTGGAGGCGTAACTTGGTAACGGCAGATACAACAGAACCAGATGCCCTGCCAATAGATCTGAACGCTGACTTCTCAATGACCAATCGTTGCTTCTCGCTGATCCAGACTGTGTGAAACATAACCGAAACGACCTTCACCAACGCTGCCACATTTACCATTATGCTGTGCCCGTCTGTCTGAAGACTGCATTGCACGAGGAATACCGGAATTCAAGCTATGTTCAAAGCTTTGTCTGGTAAAGACTGTAGGCATGCATTAAAGCCGTGGTTTGTGTTGATGCTGTTCGATGCACTGACTGTCGGCTTTCGTTGCAAATAGAAGTTATTTGTGTTTTGAGAATAAGAGGATGGCTGGATGATATACTTCGGTCGGCGCACGTGCCCTAAAGATGGATGGTGTCGATTGACCCATACAAATGTCAGATATCACAGACCTTGGGTACTCAGAATAAACGCTTCCGTTATGTTCGAAGCTGTCCATCATGTCGTGCCCTTTGACCTATGTGATATATAGCCTATCTGTATCAGTAACGGATACATCTAATGTATGGTACTTTCTTTGAGTCTGACCGTGTGTTCTGTAGCTCTGTGTACCAGCGTGTCGTGTAGTCTAGGGTCACAGGGATTACAGGTCTCGACCTACCAATCTAGTAACTCCATATCTCTCTAAATATGCATTTACATCTACATATACAGTCTACATGTTCGTTTTGCCTGTGGGTCTATTGGTTTTAATTTGTATATATAAAATAATCATAGTTGATAAACTTGCTTAGCTGCAAAGGCAAATAACTTTTTATAAGATACATTAGGCAGAAAATGGATGGTGTTTTTTTCTGGAAGTGTGTGCTTATGAGTGTATGCGAGAGGCAGGATATGTGCGTGTGTGTGAGTGTATGCGTGTTTGTGTGTCTGTGTGTGTACTTGTCTGAGTGCGTGTGTGTGAGGTCATGCGAGTAAGATACCTATAGACCAGGCATCTAGATTCCATAAACAACAAAGACAGTCACACAGTCAGACTGGTCGACCTAAGTTCTATACATGTACCTAGGTACATATGACAACCAATGGTATAGATTGTTTGTAAATAACAATGGGGTCAGAGGGCGCTGTATATGTTTTTCTGTTTATTTCCACTGAGAGTGTCAGGCCCCTGATTAACGGGAAGTGATCCGTTACAGGCCGCTGAAGAATGCCGACTATTCTCCCCGTAGTGTGCAAGCAATCTCGGCAAGGTGCAGCAGGGGTCTGCGAGATTTATGACTTACTGGTGGTGTGGGTTTTAATCAAGGGAAGAGCTACCAGGTGCTCTTTAAGCAGTCGATTCGTACGAGTAATAGTGAAGACAGAAGCAAGGGAGGTAACCCATTCGTCAGATCTGGGCAGGAAGCGACCTCAGATAGGGGATTGAACGGTATGATTTCTTTGATTGGAATTCTAGAAGTTGAGGAGAAGAATGGGGACTATTTTTATGCATATACAACTTCTTTATTCTGTATAGGCGACGTTTCGACATAGATTATAATGTCGTTGTCAATTAAGCAAGTTAGCGGTATGATGTTCTGTTTCTGTTAAAGTTGGTAATTGATCTAATTGTGATATAGGTATGAAGTACAAGTCACACAACATCAGAAACAGGTCTAGTAGTTTTGTGAAATCGGTATACCGATTTGTAAGGCACCACACTCGCCAGCAGGCTAACAAGGAAGGGGTGAGGCTATATTGTTACAAGGATCAGCCCAGATCAGGTGGACAAATTCTATAAACGGGTCGTTCTATGCATATCTTAAGCGTCCAAATGTCTAAAATATATTTTCATCATCATTTTACATTCCAATAGAAGTATATCTACAATCTTATAATTAATAATCCGCTCAACCATGCGTGTCTCACAAACGGCATGCCCCCTGCAGTTTTTGTATTAAGGGGATAGGAGGCGTCCACTGAAAGGGGTGGGGAGGTTTGTGTTTGGGTGGGTGGGAGGGGGGTGTATAGATCAACTGGATGGGTGGGTAGTTGGTTATAGTAACTGGGTAGATGGGGTGGGGTGTGGGGTCATAGATCAACTGCGTGTGTGGTTGGTTGGTTATAGATTAACTGGGTAGATTGGGTGGGGGTGGGGGTCATAGATCAACTGGGTGGGTGGGTCGTGTTTGGTTAATTCTCAAACCAAGGCATTGATACATCATCAAAGAGTTCGTGAGACAGTGAGAATGACGTAAATAGCAACCTCATATCTTTTCATTCGATCATCTAAATACTTGATGTATTTATAGGGATTAGTTAACCATTCATGTTTCCACCCCATTCATACAAACATCTGGCCCCGATTCTGTATATATGTTATTATTACTGGTTACGCTTGTCATGACTCAGTCTCAACGAATGCTCAGGGAGAGGAGAGCAGGGGGGAAGATAATCTATTTATAGCTCAAAGACTTCAGTGCGAACTCCATATCACAAGAGGGCGCTCTCTGACGTCATGGAAACCGTTTGATGATAGATACATGATTAAATCTACACTTTCAAGACTTTTTCCATAACAGTTTATTCAAGTAGAAATATTAACAATTTGCTGGTGAACCCTGATTTACTTTACACTTGAAATTCGTTGCTTGTTAATATGGCTTGCTTGATCTGCTTCTACTGATCAAATATCTCTTGGATATCTCTGTCTGAGACTCTGAACAGCAGAAATGTCATCTTCCAGAAAACATTTCCTCCCTAAACAGACCCATGCGTTGTTCCTTTATAATGGGGATCTGGAAATATCAGCCCTGACGCATGCGACACGTGATCCTTGCCCTGCGCGAGCTGAATACACCTGTGCTGACGTCATGCACGCGCAGCCATTGCTTGTGGGGCTAAGTACACAAACATGACTAACTGAACGGATGAGAAACAGATTTTCTCTGTTTTCCCTCTATATGTTTGATATTGGGCGTCTCAATCACGATAAGACTAATATTTGGGCCATGTTTTCTTGCTATGGATATTTATTGGTTATCATTTGAGACCATGGTTTACGGTTACCGAAATCCACAGACGACTGGCACTGGCTCAGCGATGAGTTCAGTGGTTTCCATTAATAATCAGTGAACAGTCTTTGACCAGAGACCATATAAAAAATCTATTACATGGTCTCTGCTTTGACAGAGAGTTCAAATATTGAACTAAAATGTCGGTTAGTCTCCGAAATTTGAGTTTCTTTAAAAATACACGATTTTCTGTCATACAATTTTGTTTGATTGTGAAATGCCTATGAGACTCATGTTTTGAAAATAAAAACACACAATATTTCTCAACCAATATCTAAAACAAGTTTTAAAGACTTTGCGATATAATGCTTTGCAGGTTTTGAAATATGAAAGTGTGCATTAATAATATTTTAAGCATAATGGAAACTTTATGATGTTCTAAAACAGTTTTGAAATGAAGATACCAGCTGAGACATAAGCATTAACAGTTACGTCATTTTGTTCGAGTAGCGTATATTAGTTAAGTTTGAAAAATCAGCATTCTTCAGAATAAAGACCTACCTCTTTCGTCCGATCTTGGCAATTAAATCAGTATCGTCCACAGACATGGTACTCATCGTTTGGAGTTATTCCAGAGAGAAGTACCAAAATATAACACACACTGAACCGGCACCATCAGAAAAATGGTTCTTTAAGGAATATCAGGAACCAGTTTATCCCCAGTAGAAACTCCAACAGCTGTCTTCTAATACTCTGTAGCACTAGAAGCGCGACTCTCTGTCCGGATGTACAGTTAGTGGAGAGTATATAGCCCTGGCCCTCCTCACGCCCGTCCCCCTACTGAGCGTCTGCTTGCACGAGATGTGAGCGCGGGAATACACCAGATAGATAACCCGAGAGGGGGTACCGTTAATTTGGCAGCGTCAGGGTGCAGGATGGAACAGCCGAGAAAGACCAGTGGCTACGGTTTCTATCGCAGATGTCAGATACTCAGCGATCTGACAGTACAGTGAGTAACGGGTTTAGATATTTAGTGTATATCTTATCCTGCGGGATGATTCTCATCACTGAATCAGGGCTTCAGGCACCTGACAGGCTTGACTGGGATGAGTATTAGGCGAGGGTCATGGTTAGTATGTGGTAGGCGTTGGGCAGATTCTTTCGCCGACCCTGACAACAAGTGTATGTATGGAGTGAATGATCAGTCCGTTAAATGCAGTGTTGCCTGATTATCGTTATCTATCACTGTCGTGTTAGCTGCCACAGGCTTAAGATGTCTAAAAATCGGTCTTCTGTGTGTTTTTCTGGTCAGTTTCGTTTAATATGTTTCTTATTATTGGTCTCAATGATCTTACTGCAAAAGTCATACTCTCATTGGGGCAGACTGAAAATAGTCCGAGCTTAGAGTTGGGGTATAACATGTTATATCACTCGATTGTATATATACAACATTATAACAGAAGCTTAGACACATTAGAATGTAGTCCTGAAGCTCATTACACGGACAGGCCGCCGTAAGATACCATGACGTTAGTATTGTTAATTTCATGTCTGTTCCGTTATTTCTTTCCATCAGTATAGTTCGGACTACGTCGGTGGATAGCACGGTGTGTCCGGAGTGGGAAGGTTGGTCTCGCAATGGTGGTTCAGATACGGTATACGTTATTACCCTTCTTTACGCTTGGGAAGATGTGAGTGAGTGAATTTAATATAAGTCACGTTGTCAGTATTTCAGCCATATTGTGACTATAACACAAAGACTGGTTGGCTCAAAGTCCGTATTGAGTGTCCAGGTAGGATCTCCATGTTAAATCGCGGCTTGGTATCTCAGTGCGTTAGCACGAGAAACATCAGGACTGCTATAGACAGCCACACACACGTGCACATGCACGTCGTCTTTAAGTGCAAAACATCCTGACTACGACGTTGAACCCCATTTCATTCATTTCAGAAGTGAATTATAATTGCCATGTCTGTAATATAAGAACATCGTCGTGTAACCATCCGTTACCAAGGGAACTGTTTCCTGAGACTCCTGTTGACATCCTGGACCAATTCGTGGTTTAGAAATTCTGGTTGGAAGAGACCGTGATGTCTCTGTGGAAGTGGGGATGCGGTACCTGGGGCAGTCGAGGCTGATATCAGTCATGATTAACCTGACTTTTTTCACCAAAAGCCTATTGGTATTCTCAGCTCCCTTTGTCCGACCAAGGCGCAAAGCGGAGATAAGCGAACCAAGCGGAGATAAGCGAACCAAGCGGAGATAAGCGAACCAATCGTCTACACTTGCCACCCGCCAGCTGACATCTAATTCTACTTCCACTTCAGATGGATGAGAAGACTCTGAAGGGCACCGGGTGTCCAGGTAACGTGAATAAAGCTTCCACAAACTGCCCAGATTTTAGTTTCTTCTTGCAGACGCCATATATCGTATCGGTATATGGTCTCTACTTTTTGTAAAGACGCTTGACTATTGTAACAGGTCACGTGACTTTGGTATCACGTGATTAAATCACATGATCTGCCTGATCAGTGGGCCAGTGAGTGTTAGTTTGCGGATCATGTCGGTGTTTGCTAGTCCAGGAGGTGGTCGTGTTTACCCGCCGCCGCTGTGTCGAGTCTGACACTAGACTGGAAGGCGCTGGGGAGTTTCAAGTCTTAAAGTCTGTACCAAACTCTGAATGAGGTCATCTGGACATCTGATGCAAATGAGGTCAGCGAAATAGGTTAAACCTACATTAACATACTCAGTCTTGGCGAACCTGTCCGCCATGATGCAACCGAAAAAATAGGTAGAGGAACCAGGTTGGTGAAATAATCAGAGACAGTATAACTTTACGGACCCTTGGGAAACACTTCAAAATACATTGTTTGTCTGGCTGGTTCAGTTCATGACATGTGATCCAACGTAACTAAGGTGATTCAGTTTATTACTTGAATTTACATGATTCAAGTAACCATGTGAACCCACATCATTCACGCAATCATATCTGAATCCATACTATTTAAGTAACCATGTGAATCCACATCATTCACGCAATCATATCTGAATCCATACTATTTAAGTAACCATGTGAATCCATATCATTCACGCAATCATATCTGAATCCATACTATTCAAGTAACCATGTGAATCCACATCATTCACGCAATCATATCTGAATCCATACTATTTAAGTAACCATGTGAATCCATATCATTCACGCAATCATATCTGAATCCATACTATTTAAGTAACCATGTGAATCCATATCATTCACGTAATCATATGTGAATCCATATATATTGTGAACTCAGGTTATTCATAGGATTAAAGAATTTATAAAAGATGGTATGCTTAACGGATTCAAGTAATCAGAAAAGAACCGACGAGATTCAAGGCATCAAGTAATCTGAAGCTTTCACCCACCAATCTGGCTCATCGGAACACAGAGTACACATGCACTACAGAGACAACGAGTCCACCTACATTCTACTAGCGACATGTATCACAGCAGAGGGTTTGGATGAGGAACCTCCCAGCCTCCATACACCACAACTGTAGGCTGTACTAGGGTACCACTGGTCGTCCCACTCTCTGATAAAACCATCATCTCACACCTCAGATGATTCATATTCCGCTACTTCTTCAAGTGGGGAACTACTTTCAGAGATGCCAAAATATTTAGGTTTCTTCAGTGTGAGCTGCCTCGGGTCCAGGCTCGGACTGTGTACGGCTCACCACCACTCGGTGTGGGTGTACCTTCACAGGACACCCGGTGTACTTCATTACGTATAAAATAGACCAGTCAAAACAAGGTCATGAGCACACGCTTCTTTATAGCGTTAGTTAAATAGCCATGTCACGTCAAACTATGTTTAGTAAATATACGTAACCGGTGTTCAGACCGCGTTTCAATGTGTACAGTTTCTGTCTCTGAAAGACACCAAACAAACTTCAGTTTGACAACCAATACATTATTTCACAACACTCTGCATGTCCAGTGGACAATGTGTTTCTTTTGAAAAACAGAGGACAAATTATTGTTTCTCTGCATTCCATAAACAGGTTACAGTTTTAAAAAAACAAACGCCCATTACATAACCCCGGAGTGTCTGAAACAGTTCATGTTAGTTGAACCTCCCATTCAAATACTGAGAGACCATGCTATATGACTTGATGACCATTTTGTTTTTAGTCCTGATAATGTTGTACAGACTGAGACTGATATCATGTCTCATAGTTCGAGCGACTCCAAGTACTTGTGCCAGCAAATAAACATGCACTGGAATGACTTTGTAAGTTTACCAAAGCACCCGGATCCATAACGTACCGGACTGTACGAACCACCGGACTCCACAAATCACCTGATTGAGTTCGAACTCTACGAACCACTGGGTACAACCCGGTTGACACTAAGACTGACGCACTACAATACAAAGCACATAGAAGAGGTCGAGTATTCTGTTTCGGGGAATCGTGTCATACGGTGCTTGTCCAACTGTATCACTGCTCCGACATCAACTATATCTACCTGTCACGTGGTAGCATCATAAATGTCCTACAGCTGTATTTATTCTTAAAACGTTCACATAAAACTGGGAAGGTTCTAAATTTACCACAAGGTTCTATATGGACATCCACTTCCTGAAGTAGCACAGCACCAGACTGCTATATAATCACACTGCCGTGTCAGCACATGCAGCAGCTTATGTCACCATGACACCACGTGTGTATCCATGCAATACTAGACGTTAACACCATCAACTATGACGTAACACCATCCAAGACCCTCTACCTTTAGTAGGCTTCAGGAACAGGAACCGATACACCACTACTAAAACAGGCCTGTACCATACATTGCTAAATTAAAGGTAAAATTAGTTTTAGTACTTAGGACCTTGGTACACCACTGTTGTGATGGAGGGCAAGTTTACCTACTGACTACACGGTGAAGAAGCTCTTTGTTTATTTGTATTTGTTGAAAAACAGATTCCATTACAGGTAAAAGGCAAACAAGCGGTGAAAACTTTATAAAAAGATTACGTAGCCAGGCGTTCGAGAATGGTGTAATTAAACGTATCCTGCTTAGTAAAGAACGTGAAAAAAGAGAAATGTTGTTGTATATATCTGGTTTGTGTGAAAATTTAAGTTTTGTTGGAGGAGTAAATATTGTCTTCCAGTACAAAAGCGGCGAGGAAGGCCAAGAGAGGACGTCACATATCGTTTACAGACCTTCGGCGTGAACACCGCAAGCGTTAACACGTCTACTCATCCACCATAGGATGTTAACTCAATAAATTTATTGAAATGAGGACCGATATGATAGGTGATTTAAAGAAAATATCGATTTTCCATTTCCAGAATTGACAAAAAGTTGCAGGACTCTTTCACGAAAACTCCCATATTAGTTAAATGTAATTCACGAAAACTCCCACATTAGTTAAATGTAATTCACGAAAACTCCAATATTAGTTAAATGTAATTCACAAAAAACATGGCACTTCCTGTACATATTCCAGATGAAGAGTCTGAGGATGCTGGGATGATGACAATCAATTAAGTATCATGGATCTCGTAACGCAATCCTTAATGAGGCTGATATCAAACCCAGGTGTCATTTTCAAAGACGAACCGATGATCCTGCCAATACCTCACATCTGAGGTGTTACGTTCATGTGTGGAATGGTGCAACGATCCACCTCTCGGGGTCGGGAGTTACCGCTGACATCAGCACTGGAAGCTGTTGTAGTTTGCTGGTAAGGGTGCGGCAAATATGTTTCTACCCGGGACCGTCCGCCTCGAACGCCAGGAATGATGCAGGGGCCTCAGGTGATGTTCCGCAGGTGTGGGCATTCCTCCATGTCAGGAATGGTTAACCAAAGACTTGCAGGAAGCTGGTTCCTCAGTTTAGGTAGCACTGTAGGCGCTGGGAAAGTTCACTGTGGAATCACTGGAACAATAAATACTAAAGACTGGGGGAATATTCCTCTGATGATGTGTCCACTGCTGACGGTGGGTCTGGACACGCAGTGGGCGGTAGATGAAGGGGCTTTAATGATGCAATGATCCATGGAGGTTCGACAGGGAGGGACAGAGCACGATGGATGGATGGATCAATGATGGCACATTAGTTTCTATATTTGTAGAACCCAGGCGATGCGGGGACAACTTGTAACACACATCGGATATTCAAATATTTGAATTCTTTGGTGTGGAATGAGTGAGTGAGTTAACGTGTTTGCAGCTTTTAGCAATATTTCAGCAATATGTCGGCGGGGGACACCAGAAACGTGCTTCACACATTGTAGCAATTTGTACCCATGTGGGGAATCGAACCCGGGTCTTCAGCGTGACGAGCGAATGCTCTAACCACTAGGCCGGCTACTCCACCGCCACCATTGGCATTGAGATTCCCGCCAGTGAAAATATAGACCAAGAGGCATAATAACAGAAGAGTTCAGCTGTTGCTCAAGAATGATTGTGTTTGTTCAGTATGTTGACTGACGTCGAACTGGCGATATATACTGCTACATGACAGTAGCCTGTAAATAAAACCAGGCGAGCCAGTAAGTAATATTATGAACAAAGCCCCATGCCGCCCTGCTATGGCGGCAGCAGCCAAGTCACAGAGCCAAGCCAACTCCGTTGCTATAGAGCTGTTCCTACCCGGAACCCACAAGGGTCGTTGGAAAATGATGATCTGATTTATTCAAAGTTCCAGTGAAGAGAATGCAGACAGGCAATGATAATAAGGGACCCTGAACAATCTGCACGTTTAAGGAGGGCTACATCATTATGATGTCAGGTGTTGGGAGGATGTCGTACCATGATGGAGACGTCCCAGCCGTAGGTTTTCCCTCCTCGTGCCTGTCGTCTACACTGGTACCCCAGCCGTAGGGTTACCCCTCCTCGCGCCTGTCGTATACATTGGTACCCCAGCCGTAGGGTTATCCCTCCTCGTGCCTGTCGTATACATTGGTACCCAAACCGTAGGGTTATCCCCCTCGTGCCTCCCGTTTACATTGGTACTACATGGCAAGCTGCACACAGTGGAGACGATACAAAACACTATGATGGCACCTGGTGCTCGACAAACAGATGAGTATTTCCTTCCTTGACCATTGTCCAAGGGTTTTGGGGTCAGTGACCTGTTCCACAAACCGGTCGTAGCGCAACGACAAGTATTGGTGAAGACAAACATCTAGTCTCTGAAATATACATATTTTACAGAAAAGAAAGTTTCTTAATTATCTCTATAAAGTGTCTCAAAGAGACGACCGGATCATTTCTTCCTTTTAAGAAAGTGTAATATTCTAAACTTGCCACATATAGAGAATCTCACCCTCGTGTCTTTTAATAT